ACACGCTCGTTGCCCTATAGTTACTTGACTCATAGCTGTAGTGCACGTTTTGATCGAGATGCTGGCAGAGTGCCTTCGTGTGTAATTGTAGACGCTATGTGTGCCGCACTATATACCAGCTACTATAGTGTAGGGTAACGTGCATACGCTGCTTAAGTTGCTAGGAGATGTTGCTCGTGATCAGGACGGCGGTGCTCATCATGATGCCTGAACAGGCATCAGCAGGATTTATGCTGGATGATATATAGTGCATACATGCAGTTAAGGATCACATTTCCCACCATCCTCATCTCCATGCAATGCTTCAATTTTGTTTGCAGTGATGACAACTTCGACGGCAATGCAGCAACCGCAGTTTGCCGGCAGCTTGGCTTCCTCAGAGGAGAGCCCTTCGGCCAGGCCTTTTTTGGACAGGGCACGGGTCCTATCCTTCTCGATGGCTTTAATTGCAACTCTACAGTCAGCCGTCTGGACCAGTGCACCATTCCTGCTATGGCTTCTCATGACTGTGGCCATGTAGAGGATGCTGGAGTCCGCTGCACAAGTACGTAGTAGTGTTGCAAGAGTGTGCTCGCTCACCAATTGAGCATATATGCTGTATAGATGAATAATATGTGCATACTTACAACCTGAATGCTCACAACCTAGACATCTTCAGCGCTTTGTAGTAGCAGGCTGATTTATCGTCGAAGAACAAGGCCCTGGGTGGATCTGTTCCACAGGACAGGAAGGAACTCATGATGAGATCACAGTTGGGGCAAGCCAAGGGAGCTGAGTCCTCCTTACAACAGTCTAGAGGTGTTTAGCTGAAAGATGATGAATCCCTAACCAACAAAACCAGGCAGCATGGAGTTGGTTATCGTTTAAGCGGGACCTTACACTTATGGGACTGTGGCAGCTGTAGATAGTACGACACACACATCGTCTATGAATTTGTGGAGTGCTAAGACACTCCACCAGTACCTGTAGAGGCCATTGCAGCGATCAGCAGGATCCTGGCACATATGCGGAAGTGTCAGCAAGCATGTTGTAAACGGCGCGATCTGACAGCTTCAAAGATTGAGATTCATATTGTCGCGCAGCCTAGGTGAGCAGGCCAGCTCCGCAGTTATTTAATTTTGGAGGTGTCTGGGCCCCCACTCTAGAGGCCACTTTTGTGTGTTAGGGGTGATTTGTTAGCAGCAGCAGCCTGAGCTCGAAAATCGTTCCGCAGCCTTGAGCAGAGTTGAAACCCCTCTAAATATTATTATGAGCTGCGTTAATCCAGTACATGGTGCGATGCAGCAAAAGCTGGTATTTCCTTGTTTCTCCAAAAGCTGCCAAATTGTACTGATATGCATGTATGATGCCTGGCCGACTTTCTTTCATTTCTAACCACCGCCAGCTGACATCCGCCTGGTCAACGGCAGCACTGCTGGAGAAGGGCGAGTAGAAGTCTTTTTCAACGGAGCCTGGGGGACTGTGTGGTAAGTACGTACCGTATGTCTATAAATAAAATTCATTATTGCCGAACAATGTGCCTGTGCGTTGAAGATAGCTTCAAGATACATTATTTTTAACTAAGGATATTATTTGTGATTTTTACTGTACGGTGTTCTCCTTGAATGCCTGTTTTAAGATATAGCTATAATAGTTATGTAGACTGTCCCTATCTATTTTAGAAGGGCACAATCGACAGACTGTTACAAACGTTTTCAGCAGTAACTGGCCAAACCTGTAACGCAGTGAACATACATGTGCTGTGTGCTGTACGAGGCAGACGTCTAGCAGCTGCAGGCCTGCCTAGGCATTGCTTGCATGTATCTATCGATGCCCCTGCAGCAGCAGCATAACGTCGATAAAACGTTTTGATTGTATATCGACAGCAGGAGCATCATGCAATAGATAAGGCCGTGAATGTAGTAGCTGGTACACAGTACGGCACATATAACGTCTACGATTATGCGCTAAGCATGTCCACCAGCACCTCGAGAGGCCTTTTCAGTGGCCAGCTACTAGCTAATAGCTACAGGGAATCAAATCGTCCCTATGGCATAAACATGCCGGTTACCGACCGTTTGGGGCCCATTAACCCAACCGGCCGGTTGAATGGCGTTAACGGCCCGGTTGGGTTAACGGTCGGTTGGGTTAACGGCCAGTTGGGTTAACGATCAGTTGGGTTAATGGTCGGTTGGGTTAATGGGCCCCAAACGGTCGGTAACCGGCATGTTTATGCCATAGGGAGTATCCCGGTAGCTCGGGAAGCATCATTCGCCAATATTAATTAAAGGCCTCTAACGCTGCAGGAAAATTTTAGTACGCGTACATAAAGTTATGGTATAATAGGTCTATAGATCATGGTATAACACATAGATAGCCCTGAAAATAGGTGGTCTACAGACAATCCCCAAGTTTACAGATGCATGAGGTACAGGTCGACATGTAGTAGACCTGTATGGGCAAAATTTCGATGTTGTAATACGCCGGCGGGGTCCATTGCCCCAGAGCAACCTTTCTCCACACTCTCCGCTTGTACACGTACGACCCATGTGACCACCATAACTGACCCTGCTGTTATATGCGTACCTATGCATGCAGTGACGACAACTTTGACGCAAACGCTGCAAACGCAGTATGTCGCCAGCTTGGATTCCCACTTGGCACACCTTTCGGCAATGCAGCTTTTGGGCAGGGCACAGGTCCTATCCAACTTGACGGCTTCACTTGCTCCTCTACAGCCAGCCGCCTGGACTCATGCACAATTCCTGCCTGGGCCACTCATGACTGCAGCCATTCTGAGGATGCAGGAGTACGTTGTGGTAAGATGGTGCTGCATGCAAATCTAGTACTTGGCGTTGATTGGGTTCTCAGACAATTCGTAGAAAATGCATGTTTCAACACGCATACGAATACAGCATGAGTCACGCTGCATGGGTGGTATGGCAATTTGCCATGCCTAACATTAAATATTTGCTACATTTTCAGGTAGTCAATCGTTCGATGTTCGCCTGGTTAACGGCAGCCGTGCTGGAGAAGGGCGAGTGGAGATTTTGTACGGTGGAGCTTGGGGAACTGTGTGGTGAGTTGGCAACATGCATACAGCAGGACAGGCTGTACATGCACATTTGTAACGCCTACAAATGTAGTCACTATTCGTGCAAATTGCACCGATGTCGGTTGTTTTGAGTGGCCGTGTGTAAGGTATTTTATACACGTACACAACAAATGAAATGCGTATGCTACACCTTGAGTTGACGTCAGCAAAATTGTGGTTTATAGATAGGAACATGGTATAAGAGGTACTGTATAGTAGGACTGAGAAATTGATGGTTTATAGTTAGATTCATGGTAGAGATTGGTCAATAGATCGTGCCATGGTAAGATGGACATGTCCATCACTGTACAGGTGTAGTAGTTGATACATAGTGCGGCAGACATAACAACTAGGGATACACGCTAAGCGATTGCTTATCAGGAGGCGTTATCAGCAGCCAGCTACTAGAACAGGCCTGAGGATGGACGGTCTATGGACACTCCTCAATTTTACAAGGCGTAATTGAATTTATTTTGCTTGCAGTGATGACAACTTCGACGGCAATGCAGCAACCGCAGTTTGCCGGCAGCTTGGCTTCCTCAGAGGAGAGCCCTTCGGCCAGGCCTTTTTTGGACAGGGCACGGGTCCTATCCTTCTCGATGGCTTTAATTGCACCTCGTCAGTCAGCCGTCTGGACCAGTGCACCATTCCTGCTATGGCTTCTCACGACTGCAGCCATGTAGAGGATGCTGGCGTCCGCTGCACAAGTAAGTAGTAGTGTTGCTAGAGCATGCTTACTGTAGTAGCTGGCCGCTGAAAAGGCCTCCCGAGATGCTGGTGGTCGCGCTTAGCACGTATTTGTAGTTGTTATGTGTGCTGTTCTGTGTACCGTCTACTACGTCCCCCCCCTTTGAAGGGATCCGTCTCGGGCCCTTACAGCCACGTATACCACCAGCCTGTGCTACCTTCGCCTATCCTCGGGCAGTGGGTGCCCAGTCCACGTCATGTCCTGTGTCGCTTTCACATGCGCCTAGTGGTCTTAAGGGTTTTCAGGCACAGAGACACTCCAGTCGGTTCAGCTATATTTGTCGCGATAATCGCTCACTAAGTCACCAAACCCGATACTCCTCCTTCAAGCGAGAATGGTGAAGGTTGAACCGACGACTTTAGAATCGTGAAATTTCACGAGGTCTCCATACCAAATAGCTGGCCGCTGAAAAGGCCTCTCGAGATGCCAGTGGTCGTGCTTAGCACGTATATGTAGTTGTTATGTGTGCCGTACTGTGTACCGGCTACTACACTCACTCACCAATTGATCATATATGCTGTATAGATGGGCCTTGATGAATAATATGTGCATACTTACAACCGGAATGCACACAACCTAGGCTTCTTAAGCGCTTTGTAGTAGCAGGCTGATTTATCGTCGAAGAACAAGGCCCTGGGTGGATCTGTTCCACAGGACAGGAAGGAACTCAAGATGAGATCACAGTTGGGGCAAGCCAAGGGAGCTGAGTCCTCCTTACAACAGTTTAGAGGTGTTTAGCCGAAAGATGATGAATCCCTCACCAACAGAACCAGGCAGCATGGAGTTGGTTATCGTTTAAGCGGGACCTTACACTTATGGGACTGTGGCAGCTGTAGATAGTACGACACACACATCGTCTGTGAATTTATGGAGAGCTTCTAAGGCACTCCACCAGTACCTTAAGAGGCCATTTCAGCGGTCAGCAGGATCCTGGCACATATGCGGAAGTGTCAGCAAGCATGTTGTAAACGGCGCGATCTGACAGCTTCAAAGATTGAGATCCAGCTCCGCAGTTATTTAATTTTGGAGGTGTCTGGGCCCCCACTCTAGAGGCCACTTTTGTGTGTTAGGAGTGATTTGTTAGCAGCAGCAGCCTGAGCTCGAAAATCGTTCCGCAGCCTTGAGCAGAGTTGAAACCCCTCTAAGTATTATTATGAGCTGCATTAATCCAGTACATGGTGCGATGCAGCAAAAGCTGGTATTTCATTGTTTCTCCGTACCCCCAAAAGCTGCCATCTTGTACTGATATGCTTGTATGATGCCTGGCCGATTTTCTTTCATTTCTAATCACCACCAGCTGACATCCGCCTGGTCAACGGCAGTCGTGCTGGAGAAGGGCGAGTAGAAGTCTTTTTCAACGGAGCCTGGGGAACTGTGTGGTGAGTACGTACCGTATGTCTATGATTTTATTCATAACTGCCTAATAATGTGCCTAGGCTTAGGGTTTTGGTTACAAGATACATTATTTTTAACTAAGAAAATTATTTGTGATTTTTACTGTGCTTTACTAAAGGTGTTTTTGCCTTCACTGCCGGCGTATCTTTTCATAATGATTATGGTAATCCTAGATATCTAGACATCTGGACAAACTGAATGACTGAATGCATTGCCTTAACCACCATCACTTGCCAGGGGAGCTGATCCCTTCTCACATAACTGACCCTGCTGATATATGCGTACCTATGCATGCAGTGACGACAACTTTGACGCAAACGCTGCAAACGCAGTATGTCGCCAGCTTGGATTCCCACCTGGCATACCTTTCGGCAATGCAGCTTTTGGGCAGGGCACAGGTCCCATCCAACTTGACGGCTTCATTTGCTCCTCTACAGCCAGCCGCCTGGACTCATGCACAATTCCTGCCTGGGCCACTCACGACTGCAGCCATTCTGAGGATGCAGGAGTACGTTGTGGAGGTAAGGTGGTGTTGCATGCAAATCTAGTAATTTGCGTTGATCGGGTTCTCAGACAATTCGTAGAAAATGCATGTTTCAACACGCAGATGAATACAGCATGAGTCACGCTGCATGGGTGGTATGGCAATTTGCCATGCCAAACATTAAATATTTGCTACATTTTCAGGTAGTCAATCGTTCGATGTTCGCCTGGTTAGCGGCAGCCGTGCTGGAGAAGGGCGAGTGGAGATTTTGTACGGTGGAGCTTGGGGAACTGTGTGGTGAGTTGGCAACATGCATACAGCAGGACAGGCTGTACATGCACATTTGTAACGCCTACAAATGTAGTTCCTATTCGTGCAAATTGCACCGATGTCGGTTGTTTTGAGTGGCCGTGTGTAAGGTATTTTATATAAAATATTTTATATATACACGTACACAACAAATGAAATGCGTATGCTACACCTTGAGTTGACGTCAGCAAAATTGTGGTTTATAGATAGGAACATGGTATAAGAGGTACTGTATAGTAGGACTGAGAAATTGATGGTTTATATATAAACCATGAATCTAACTATATAGATGTTATGTCCTAGTGTCTAGTACTAGAACAGGCCTGAGGATGGACGGTCTATGGACACTCCTCAATTTTACAGGCGTAATTGAATTTATTTTGCTTGCAGTGATGACAACTTCGACGGCAATGCAGCAACTGCAGTTTGCCGGCAGCTTGGCTTCCTCAGAGGAGAGCCCTTCGGCCAGGCCTTTTTTGGACAGGGCACGGGTCCTATCCTTCTCGATGGCTTTAATTGCACCTCGTCAGTCAGCCGTCTGGACCAGTGCACCATTCCTGCTATGGCTTCTCACGACTGCAGCCATGTAGAGGATGCTGGAGTCCGCTGCACAAGTACGTAGTTAGCATTGTTAGTTGCAAGTGAGCATGCCCAACAATTGAGCTAGAGTTCGTTCATGAAGGCCTGGGTGCATGGATGTGTGGAAAACGCTAGCAGGTTGCATAGACATCCAATCATTGTTTCCTGTGCACAGAAAGGTCATACCATGAATACTATAGTAGAGTATAGGAAGCTACGTAGCTACCTGCCAGCAGCATGTCATGAAGACAAATACATTGAAATGCACTTTCACTTTTCATCCCAGCCATCTGCTAGTACACCTACAAATCACTGTAGACATGCACATGTGATCTCCATCTTCATACATCATGCAATTTGAGGTAGGGCTTTTGCGCTGCTGTTGCCCTATGACTTCCATTCTTGCCACCGTAGCAGAGCCAAACGGGCTTTAGCAGCCTAGGCCAAACAGGCCTGTTTGGCACTGCTGAATGCCCCAATCAGTTGGAAGGGGAACAGTTATAATACGGAATTCATAACAGAAGCAATGGTCCATGCACTGTTCGTAATTATGAACTGCATTTGTAATATTCTGGGTATCACTGGATCTGACATCCGCCAATCAGTTCTTTTCTGAAAAAAGACGTGATACAACAGCATTCTACTAAATGAATAACATGATTCTGGGAATGGTAAGTAATTGCATGTGTCACAGAAGGATGGAGCCCATTGCTGCCATGACGACATTATGTATTCTTGAAAGTTCTTTGCCATACATGTAACCACTACCCGCCAGCTGACATCCGCCTGGTCAACGGCAGCACTGCTGGAGAAGGCCGAGTGGAAGTCTTTTACAATGGAACCTGGGGGACTGTGTGGTGAGTAACAATGATCTGCTAAAGGCCAGTATTAGTCACAATACACGAGGCGAAACTGTACTGATGTTGCTATATGTATGAGCCTTTTTAATTATAAACTTAGCAGTGCCTTACATGTAGTGGGTGCATGCATCTGTACACTTCATTCACTGTTTCTACACGGCACATGCACAGATTGGGTTTTATTTAATCCGTCACTTCATCCCAAGCAGTGCAAACAACCCGGGTAAGGGGCCCCTTATCCAGAACTTAACGGTCGCATACAAGCCTGGGGCCCAGGGGTCATCAGACACAGGCTGAGAATGCATGCAAGGAAACCCAGAACCCTAAAACCCTATAGACTTAATGCCATAGCAGCATGGCTAATGCAGTAAACTCTCTGAAGCCAAATTTTCTGTACAAGGGCTGCCAACTTTTTAAGTTCATCAGCCATTATAGACGGTAGCTATACGCCATACATGACTACAGGACAGAGGGTTCCTCTGTAAGTCGGGTAGGTAGGTAGGTAGGTAAGTGCAATGCATATGCTTGAGGGCCTCGCATGAGAAGGCGCCAGTGTGTGACTAATTGCCTGAACTACCAAAACTGACGCTGGCTTGGGTCATTCCTTGCTTGTGCAAGCATGCGTGCATCACAAACTGAATGACCCATTGCCTTAACCACCATAACTGACCCTGCTGATATATGCGTACCTATGCATGCAGTGACGACAACTTTGACGCAAACGCTGCAAACGCAGTGTGTCGCCAGCTTGGATTCCTATCTGGCACACCTTTCGGCAATGCAGCTTTTGGGCAGGGTACAGGTCCTATCCAACTTGACGGCTTCACTTGCTCCTCTACAGCCAGCCGCCTGGACTCATGCACAATTCTTGCCTGGGCCACTCATGACTGTAGCCATTCTGAGGATGCAGGAGTACGTTGTGGAGGTAAGATGGTGCTGCATACAAATCTAGTAACGTTGATTGGGTTCTCAGACAATTCGTAGAAAATGCATGTTTCAACACGCAGACGAATACAGCAGTCATCCTGGTAATATAAGGCACAACCATTGCCCCCGGGAGATTCCGGGATCGAGACCTGACAGGGTCGAAAAACCTTCCGATGGTGGGAAGTAAAGTGCCCCTAGTTGATGGACTGTGGTGACCTGGGATAAAGTTAACCTGCGAGACGACCAGGAATGGAGTTGGGCCGTCGCCGATCCGGCAGATTCCGTTGGATGCTGGTGGTGGGTGTGGAACCTGAGCGATCCACTGAGAAGTTGACAAGGGTGACTGGATGAGGGTGCCCCGAAATACCGGGGAAGGCAGGGTTTCGCAGGGTAGCTGCACAGCTACCCTGGCATGCCACGGGCGAAGATATGATCCCCCTGTCCCACACATCATATAGACAGACAGCTGTCTGAAGGCAAGCTAAACTGCAGCTGTCTTTGCAAGCACATCCAATTATTGGTGCAAGGACTTGAGTCGAGGCAATTGACTCACCAAGGATTTGCGAACATTGTATCATGAATAATTAATTCATCTGCTTAGAATAAAATATATTATAATTAAAATTACATTACATAATACTATCATTTATATTTTATATTTAAAAATATTAATATTATATTTTATTACATAGCATTATTTTTGATTTGATATATAATATATTTTATATATCAAAACAAAATATAAAATGGGATGTAATAATTAATAAAATATTAATGGCAATACCGTAGCCGCAACGGGTTAAGAGCACACAATTTTGGGCAGGCCCTGCCAAACATGTTGCATAAAAAGTAGATCCGTCATTTTAGCCTCTGCCTTGGCCATAGGTTTGTGTGATGTTGTACAACCGGTACCGAAAAGTGAGGAAAATGCCTGCAAAGCAGCTGTAAACGTATCTTTTGTTATATGTTACACATAAATGTCACCATAGAGTTAACAGCAGGTTTGTATCTTATGCAGATTAATCCGAGTAGCCCTGACTCAACAGGTGGCACGCATCTTGGATATCTTCTTCGAGACCGGCGCCAAAACAAGGACTGGATTCTGAAAAGATTTGCTCCAAAATACCGTTGTGATTACCGTAACTCATGAGTTACGGTAATCACAACGGTATTTTAAGGAGGCAGACATATGCATACATGGATAATCCACAAGGTCCAGCATTTGACTTCTGCCTTTGCTACTAAATATATTTTTTATCTTCTAAATCCAGGGTCATCGTCTAATAGATAGGACCGAGAAATAGATAATATATATATAGACTCGCTTGATGATTCTATAGACAGTGCCATGGTACAAAAGATAGGGCCGAAATTACGTGGCTTATAAATACTTATAAATACTTATAAATACTTATAAATACTTAAAATACTTTTCGATCTAAAGACGTTCATCAGATTGGATTCATGGCTGCCAGCCGGAGGCAACACTTTACAACTCCCCCCCTTTTCACCTTGGGCCACTGCTATACAGGCTATGCAGGCTATGCAGGCTGATTTATGGAGCGTCATGGCCCTTCCTAGAGCTTGGTGTGTGCCCAAGCCAAAGGCACCACTAGTGGTACTCGTAGGCAGAGGGAATTTGATTTTGTATGCAGATTTTGTATGCAGATTTCAATGGCATACATATTTCAATGGCATACATAAGACATCAATTCTGGGTCAGGCCTGGCCTAGGTTGGCTTATCCTGTCCAGCTGTCGTACACGGATTTGAAAGGTTTGAGCTGCTGAAATGAATATGCTTCCATCCAGTTGTAGATGCATGGATGGGGAGCTGTTTAACTTGTCACCTCACTAATTAGTTGGTAACCTTTGGGTCGCCATGTTGGTGCTGCTATTAGGACTAGTCAAAGGTTTTAAAAGTAGTTATCAAAGCAATCATCACAAATACAGTTTGGCACTACTGGTAACACGCGACCATTGCCCCCGGGAGATCCTGGGATCTACACCCGTTAGGGTCAAACATCCTTCCAATAATGGAAGGTATTGCGCCCCTAGTTGATGGATGGTGGTGACCTGGGATAAAGTTAACCTGCGAGCCGACCAGGAATGAAGTTGGGCCGCTGTCGACTCGGCAGATTTCGTTGGATGCTGGTGGTGGGTGCGGAACCTGAGCGATCCAATGAGAAGTTGACTGGGGTGACTGGATGAGGGTGCCCCGAAATACCAGGGAAGGCAGGGTTTCGCAGGGTAGCTGCCACGGGCGAAGATATTCCCCCCTGTTTCACGCATCATACATGCATAGGTTTTCGGCTCTTTCCATAATACTTACACTTGGCCAGCTTCACCGTGCAATTTGGGTAGCTAGTATATATGGGACTTGGATGATAGCTTAAGCTATCATGGATGATAGCTTAAGCTTGCAAGCTTGCAAGCTTGTGTAATAGCTGTGGAGCTTATGTTGGTTATGTCATTTGCCTACTTGCCTGTTAGCATTGGTACATAAGCATACAATTTTGAAATAGAAGGGTCAGGCGTTGCATGATAATATGTGAGCTTGTATGTGATTAAGGTTAGATGTATAACAAATATTCCTCAACCTAACAAAAAGAGATTGAAATGGGATTGCTGACCTGCCTAGGTTGTAGAAGCTGGTTGTAGAAATGCTGGTGGATGTACTTAGCGTGTATCCATAGACTTTATGTATGCCGTACTGTGTACCAGCTATTACATAGATTACCTATGGGTGGTGAGTAGCGCTATCATTAAAAAGTGGTGGTGGTTGCTCAGCAATCTAAGACTGGTTTGTTGAATACTGAGAATATACACTTCGGGTTTTATAATCCGTGATATGCCCAGGATACTGCAATTATCCCCCTCTTAACTGTAGAGGGCCCCTATGTATGTGACGACAGCATCCAAAGGATAACCAGCGGCTATGGGGCCTGCCATCTCCTGCACAGAAGAAACTGCTACAGCTGAGAATGAAGCCCAGGTCTGAATGAGACACTAGCTCGTTACCAATTGTTATATCACGACTTCAGAAGAGTACCCAACGGCAGATGCAAATCCTGTGAATGCCCAGGATACTACTCGGGGTTCCTACCAATGAGCATGTGCCTGAATGGGGCGCCAAGGGCGCGTGAGCAGGCGCCCGAATAGGAAGGTCAATGCCTGAAGGGGCACCGTAGGCAGTGTGTACAGTGCTGTACGGCACTGTCTCCCATGTGTGTTATGGCTCCAGCACCAGACCGCAAAGCCAATAGGCTGAAGGCTGGCAAGCTGCCATTGTGTCTGCGGAGCATTGAGCATCCAGCCTGGACCGCGGACTTGGCAGCCAAGCCCCTGCTGTGTGCCGGTAACTGCACCTCAGACCATAGTTCTTCACCAGGGTACCCAAAAATTTCGGCCGTGTCCGAAACCCTCTGATTAACCTTTCGGGTCCCTCCCCGAAAATTTTCCTGTCAGCTGGAGAGTGTTTTCGGGTACCCCGAAACTGTCTGAAGCGGTTTTCAGGGTAAAATTTAGCTGGATTCTATCGTTATATGCTAGGACGGCTGAATTAACAGGTGTTTGACTTTATTTTGGAGCATAGCTCCTGGGTGAAATATTTCAGCAAGGATTTTACCCAAAGCCACGGCGGCGCCGCTCCTCATCCACCTCTGCAGCAATCGCATCCACCACACCTGCCACATCATCATCCGTCTCCTCAGACGGGTACACCTCATCACTTGCCACACTCTCGACCTCCTCGTTATCAGAAGGATAAGAGGCCTCGGCAATTTCACTGCCCAGACTGCCCTCATCATCACTCTCATCAGGCAGAACACAGTCGCCCACCTTGGCAAGGCGGTGCAGGAGCCCATCCGGGTTCTTTGCAATATACTCCTCAGCAGCTTTAAATCACAAGGGGTTGGCATTTCATATCCACAGTTGGACCGAGTAATCCAACACGCAGAAGGGAATCAATGGACGGGACAGCCAGCCGGTTATGCAGCCTATTTTTGGTAATGCGGTGGACACTAAAGCCATGCTCAACACAGTATGCAGGACACAAGCGACACACACTGTGGAAAGAAGTGGACCCACTGATGCATTCCAGCCCAGGCCCGCTCCCAGAAGGTGCGGCCCAGCTCCAACTGCAAGGCCATCTTAGACTTCATAACTGAAAGCTCTTTCTGCAAAACGTCAAGTTCACTGACATCGAAGGCAAACAGGCGGTTCGAGCTTGCCAAAGCCGTGAATCCCGAGGGAGATGCGGGGCACCTTGGTTGGGTGCTCATCATCAATTGACACGTGCATGTTTAACTATGCATATGCTTAGATGTATGAAAATATGGCATATGGATATGCTTAGATGTATGAAAATGTCTGCGATACAGCTGCGAAACAGCCGCAATGCACATTTGTACTTGTTGTTTGACTGGTGACCAAGCGGGCCTTATATGGCAAGCCCGGTTTCCAGGCCCCGTCTGCGCCCGAAAACATGCAAATTTACGCTGAAATATCGTTCGGCTTTCTCCGAAAATGCCTTCAAAAGGCTTCGGTGGGGTCCCCGAAAAAATGCTCTAAAAGGCCCAAAATCCGTTCGGAATGCTCAGGGGTGAACTAATTTTCCTTTCAGGCAAAACAGAAATACCTCAAAAACAGTTCAGGCCCGAATCGGGGTGAAAATCCCTGCCTCAGACTCATACCTTTACGCCCAAGCAAGGGGCTGTCGGTGGCAGGCCTGGGAGCCTGGGGGCCTGGGAGCCGGGGGCCTGGAAGCCTGGGGGCCTGGGAGCCGGGGGCCTGGGAGCCTGGGAGCCTGGGGGCCTGGGGGCCTCGGGGTTTGGGGGTGACACAACCATGAAATGGTGGTATCGAAAGATACCGGTTGAGGCAAGTGGATTGAATAATAATCATTCTAGAATCCACTTGGGCCTCATGCCAATAAGTTCCAGTACGGCTGGGTGGTGTGATGTTGACCATAGTTCGCAGGAACTACTCTCGCCTCATGAAGCAGACATCCAGGAAGGCAGGTTCCAGCTTTAGACAGGTGAAGCCCCTGCCCAGACGCCAGTATGGACTTCTGCAGCAGTGCGGCAGTAGGGTGGACAGACCGGCATCTGACAGTTAGACAACAGAGCCTAGAGCTTAACAGTGAGCTTAACAGGATACAACACCTGGAGCCCCAACCCTCCCTTCCATCTCACCTCCCTGAGTGAAACCCATTCCCTCTCCCTGTCACCACCCTCCTAAATTAAAACTTCTGCTGCAGCCCCACTATCGGAGGTTAGCTGCACTTGCTGCACATGTATGAGAGCATGAGAATTAAAGCAGGCACTGCAAAGACAGTGCTGACACATACACACCCAACTCCTCCAACCAACCCCAGCCACACTTCCTAGCATGTAGTGTTATCATCATGACATGGCTAAAGATTCCACAACGAAACACACAACCATGGAACAGATGTGGCCCACCACTACCTGCCTACATCAAACAAATCTGCCGTACTCCGATAGCCATATCGGAGTACGACAGCGTTTTGATGCCCCATGTAAAACACATAAGAGCCCCGACCCTCCCCCCCATCTTACCTCCATTCCCGGCTGGACGTCGGCCCCATCCACCGAGGCCTGCTGCACGTGCAGCACATGGATGGGAACATGACAATTAGGGCAGGCACGTCAATGACGGAGGCGAAACATACACGCCCCCCTCTCCCAACCAGCCTCAGCCACCCTCCATAGCATCAGGAACAAGAAAGAGGGCAACGGGTAACGATTCCACAACGAAACACACAACCGTGGCACAGATGTGGCCCACCACTACCTGCCTACACCAAACAAATCTGCCGTACTCCGATAGCCATATCGGAGTACGACAGCGTTTTGATGCCCCATGTAAAACACATAAGAGCCCCGACCCTCGCCCCCATCTTACCTCCATTCCCGGCTGGACGTCGGCCCCATCTACCGAGGCCTGCTGCACGTGCAGCACATGGATGGGAACATGACAATTAGGGCAGGCACGTCAATGACGGAGGCGAAACATACACGCCCCCCTCCCCCAACCAGCCCCAGCCACCCTCCATAGCATCAGGAACAAGAAAGAGGGCAACGGGTAACGATTCCACAACGAAACACACAACCGTGGAACAGATGTGGCCCACCACTACCTGCCTACATCAAACAAATTGCCGTACATCCGATAGCCATATCGGAGTACGACAGCCGTACATGATGCCCCATGTAAAACACATAAGAGCCCCGACCCTCGCCCCCATCTTACCTACATTCCCGGCTGGGCGTCGGCCCCATCCACCGAGGCCTGCTGCACGTGCAGCACATGGATGGGAACATGACAATTAGGGCAGGCACGTCAATGACGGAGGCGAAACATACACGCCCCCCTCCCCCAACCAGCCCCAGCCACCCTCCATAGCATCAGGAACAAGAAAGAGGGCAACGGGTAACGATTCCACAACGAAACACACAACCGTGGAACAGATGTGGCCCACCACTACCTGCCTACATCAAACAACATTGCTGTACATTCGATAGCCATATCGGAGTACGAAGCCGTACATGATGCGCCTATGTCAGACACATAAGAGCCCCGAAACCTCGTCGGTCATCTTTTCTCCATTCCCGGCTGGACGTCGGCCCCATCCACCGAGGCCTGCTGCACGTGCAGCACATGGATGGGAACATGACAATTAGGGCAGGCACGTCAATGGCGGAGGCGAAACATACACGCCCCCCTCCCCCAACCAGCCCCAGCCACCCTCCATAGCATCAGGAACAAGAAAGAGGGCAACGGGTAACGATTCCACAACGAAACACACAACCGTGGAACAGATGTGGCCCACCACTACCTGCCTACATCAAACAAATCTGCCGTACTCCGATAGCCATATCGGAGTACGACAGCGTTTTGATGCCCCATGTAAAACACATAAGAGCCCCGACCCTCCCCCCCATCTTACCTCCATTCCCGGCTGGGCGTCGGCCCCATCTTCCGAGGCCTGCTGCACGTGCAGCACATGGATGGGAACATGACAATTAGGGCAGGCACGTCAATGACGGAGGCGAAACATACACGCCCCCCTCCCCCAACCAGCCCCAGCCACCCTCCATAGCATCAGGAACAAGAAAGAGGGCAACGGGTAACGAATCCACAAGGAAAAACAACCCTGGCACAGATGTGGCCCACCACTACCTGCCTACATAAAAACATTGGGACATTGGACATTGAAGCCATAATAGCCAAAGCCATACATGAGCGGTTATGTCAGCCAATGGCATGGAAACCTCGTCGGTCGTAATTTTGTTCAGTAAACCTGACAAGGTTTTAAATGATTTCAGCCGACTTTCGGATATTGTGGCATGGACCCACTACATTGGCGGACCTGGTCGACCAGGTCGATCGACGTCGGCCTCGGGTAACCTTGCCTATGTACTTATTTGTTCATCCACTATATTCTACTTTGTGCTGGAACAATCGGCGTTCCTTTGGGCCATGACCATGACTACCAATGGTCATGTTACATCGGAGCACCAATACAGGTGGCAAACACCTAAACTAACCTAAATTTCACTTATGATAAATTCACCGGCTATATTCATGCTTCCCAATGTGCTTTCGGTACTGCACGTCAAAAATAACCTCGTCCAGACAACTGTCCCGTAGCTGCTGAGCCTTGGGCGCTACACGTCTCTGGACTGCCAAATGGCCGTAGGTAGAGAGCAAATCATAAGGACAAATAATGCCTCCCTACACTCATATTTGATGGCAAACATGTTAACTAACCTCGTCATAACATTTCACACACTCAGCGCGCATATCTGTGCCTAATTATGGCACTTTCAAGGTTGCACATTTATCAAGCTTCTAGCTGGCGAGTAACCTGTCCAGACAACTGCCCCGTAGCTACCGAGCCTGACGAGTTACACGTCTCCGGACTGCCATAGGGAGGACGTGGACCTCCAGACTACAGTAACGGCCAATGACTCTTCGCCGTGTATGCTAGGTTCCAGAGAGACACCATCTCTTCAACAGGTTATGAGCCCCAGCTTCCTGCCTCCCGCACACTGACAAGCATAGCTCCCACAGCATAAGCACTGCAGCAACAAGCACAGCTCCCACCATGTTGACACTGCCCTAGCTACCGGCCTGTACGGATGCAGGGGGCCCCCACCCTTTTACCGGCTTCAAGGAAGCCAATGCCCGACTTGTTGGCTGGAGGAATGAACTTGTATGGTTGGAACATAATCATATATCCATAATCATCCTAATTTTCAGGACCACGGACAATTATTTATTCCAAATTCGAAATATATTCAGCAAAAAGAAACACTGGCGACAGCCCATGACAATGACAGATATTCGTAGTGAACCTAATTAGGTTTATAATATATATCATAATGGGCTGGGGCCCATTAGGTTGGACGGTTAGGCCAATTGGCTGGGAACCAGCTTCCCTTCGATACCCGGGATTCCCTTCATCTAGTGTTTGTTTCGTGCTCATTTAGTGCTCATTTCGGAATGAAGGGCTGAGGGGCCTTCAGAACATATAGAAGGAGCTCGGCTGAAATGGTCACTTTCCATGCAAAAGCCGTCTAATATCGCCATGCCAGGGTTTGTTTTAATTACTTATGACTGTATGCATTGTTCCAACTTGAACTTAATTACTTAAGACTGTATGCATTGTTCCAACACATTGAATGTGAGTTATCATGAATTCTGAGCTCATCCCACAATGAAGGGCTGAGGGCCCTTCAGACTGAAGTGGTCATAATTCACGGATTCCTTTACAGAAGCCTTCTGATATCGTCATGCCAGATTTGGTTTTAGTGAGAACATGACTTAGCATGATCATGCATAGTGTTTTTGGAGCTACGTATTTTTGGAGCTACAGCATCTGTTTGCAAGCCTGGCTGGCTGTGACGGTATAATAACAGCTAATAACTATGGCCTCTCCAGCTAAAACATATCCCCGTTACCTCTGCGACGGCCGCTCACCAAATTCGAATTTTCGTGTGCATCCTGTGGACGCAATGATCAGTGCCAGTCTCGTGCATATTATCACATCACCAGACAGCAGTGCGTCCAGCTTGTTAACAATGGCAAAGAGGCCGTGGCTCCCAAGGAGATGGTTGCAATTCCTCACTGTTGCAATACATTGCCACGTACTCTGTATGGTGAAAACTTACTATGTCCAATATGCTGCTGTAACGACGCAAATGCCAATCTGAGCATCCCGGGTTACGCCTTTGCTGTGTTACAATGGTATCGAGACGGGACCGCACGAATACCGAAATAAACTTCGGGTCGGCGGTTCGATTCTGGCAACCAGCAAGTCGCAAATTGGCGATTTCATGGTGTAATGGATAAACCAGCGCACTGGCGCGAGGTGGGATGGCTCCTGTGCTCGAAATAATGGCCGAGGACGTCCATTGCTAAGTGGGGGGCAATGTAACGACGCAAATGCCAATCTGAGCATCCCGGGTTACGCCTTTGCTGTGTTACAGCTGCAGATGAATATCCTCAGCAACAAGCTCCAGTTGCGGTGGTTGGTGTGGGAGCACAGGCTCAAGCTAGGAGCACCCGTTGATCCTCCGACGGAACCTCCTTCGGATACCACGCAGCATGCCTCACCGTCTACAGGCGGATTACCGGCACGTACACCAGTGCAGGCTGCGGCAGCCGCACAAGTTCAAGAAATGCTTTGTGCGGCGTGCGACAATCAGGTTCCCGCTCTCCAAGCTGAAGTAACGGCCTTCAAGGGAGAGGTGGAGAGCCTTTTCACCGAATACGGCGAACGATTGGGTGAAATCACCTCCGCCCTGAAGGATCTCCAAACGCAACTTCGGGACGCGTTACCTGTGTCGCCGCCTCCGAGTTCTTCGGACACATGGCGCAAATCTATTATCATCAATGGCATTTGTGACACGCTTGACAGCAATATTGCTGCATTCCTAGATGTAGACATGCTGCAGAATTGTGCTTTCCAGGCGCTTCTGCAGCGCCACCTCAACCCCGAAGTGTGCTTGGACAAGGTCAAGCAGCTATGGAGTGAGGGCATCACCAAGAAAGCCGGTGGCCCTTCCGGCTCGGCGGCCCCTTCTTCTAAGTCCGCCCAAACCTCAGAGGTAAATAAGCGTATCCTTGCACCACCTCGTTTTAGTGGGAAGAAGGATTCACAAATTACTAATACAAAGACATGGTTCATATTTTGACTTGAGCACTTTATGTTCTGGCTTACGGGCAAGGCTCAGGAGTGGGCTGCAGATCTTTTCCTTAAGCACAAGTCCGGCACACAACCATTTACCCGTGATTTGTTGCGTGATAAATTCCTGTTGCAATATGGGGATGCGAAGTGCGACACCGCGATGGCCGCACACGATCGTTTGCATGCACATGAGTATGATATGAAAATAGACGAGTCCGCACCAGAGTATATGCAGCACTTTTACGATATTGTTCGCGAAGTGAATGAGTGTTGCGGATCAAATCTCTTAGTATATTAAGGGCTTAGTTCCTGTGCTGCACGGTCGCTGTGCTATGGATGATGAGGGCAAAGACTGGCAGGATTTAGAGAAACTCATCCTGTATGCTAGCGGTCAAGAGGTTCGGTGGAAAGCCGGAAAGGACAAAGCACAGCTTGCTGTAGTTACTACACAAGCTGGCCCGTCTAAGATTACTTCCTCCTCTCGCCCTAAGCATTCTCGCCCTCGGTCCCCTTCCAAACAGGCCTGGGAAACGGTTCGAGCGAAGAAACAGTGGACGTCAACGTCCGGTACTCTTCTCAAGTGCTGGGTGTGCTCTCGCCTTAAACCAGCGAACCAGACTTGGGACGAGCACAAGAAGGACTGCCTTCGACACCTGCAGGAGCAGATGGCCCGACTGCAAGAGAAGACGGCTAGTTTAAACGCGAACCGACCGAACAATTAGGATGCTGGCAAGCACGAGGGGGTGTCTTGCAAGCAGGCCGTTAGTGTGGTAGCATGTGTAGACCAAGTCTCTTATGCCGAGCCTGACTTGACGACTAGGGACTCTGTTGTTCCGCCCATTTGCGATCCGTTAATATGTGATCGGATCGGATGTTCCTTCGTGATGAATTCCGAATAGTTGAGACCGAACTTGGGCGTCAATTTACGTTGAATGCCGCTTGTAACAACTCGGGCGACAACAGTCTCTGTTCATGCTTTGCCTCATCCAACGCCCAAGTTCATTCTCAACTCTTCGAAATTCATCATGAAGGAACATCCGATCACATATCAACGGATTGCAAATGGGCGGAACAAGTCGTCAAGTCAGGCTCACCATAAGAGACTTGGTCTACACATGCTACCGCACTAACGGCCTGCTTGCAAGACACCCCCTCACGCTTGCCAGCATCCTTATTATTCGGTCGGGTCGTGTTTAAACTAGACGTCTTCTCCTGCAGTCGAGCCATCTGCTCCTGCAGGTGGCGAAGGCAGTCCTTCTTATGCTCGTCCCAAGTCTGGTTTGCCGGCTTGAGGCGAGATCACACCCAGCACTTGAGAAGGGTACCGGATGTTGACATCCTCTGTTTCTTTGTGCGGACCGTTTCCCAAGCCTGTTTGGGAGGGGACCGAGGGTGAGAATGCTTAGGGTGAGAGGAGGAAGTAATCTTAGACGGGCCAGCTTGCGTAGTAACCACAGCAAGCTGTGCTTTGTCCTTTCCGGCTTTCCACCTCCTGACCGCTAGCATATAGGATGAGTTTCTCTAAATAAGCCCTTAATATACCAAGAGATTTGATCCGCAACACTCATATCATTCGCTTCACGAACAATATCGTAAAAGCGCTGCGTATACTCTGGTACAGACTCGTCTATTTTCATATCATACTCATGCACATGCAAACGATTGCGTGTGGCCATCACGGTGTCGTGCTTTGCATCCTCATATTGCAACAGGAATTTATCACACAACAAATCGCGGGTAAGTGGTTGCGTGCCGGACTTGTGCTTAAGGAAAAGATCTGCAGCCCACTCCTGAGCCTTGCCCGTAAGCCAGAACATAAAGTGCTCAAGTCAAAATATGAACCATGTCTTTGTATTAGTAATTTGTGAATCCTTCTTCCCACTAAAACGAGGTGGTGCAAGGATACGCTTATTTACCTCTGAGGTTTGGGCGGACTTAGAAGAAGGGGCCGCCGAGCCGGAAGGGCCACCGGCTTTCTTGGTGATGCCCTCACTCCATAGCTGCTTGACCTCGTCCAAGCACACTTCGGGGTTGAGGTGGCGCTGCAGAAGCGCCTGGAAAGCACAATTCTGCAGCATGTCTACATCTAGGAATGCGGCAATATTGCTGTCAAGCGTGTCACAAATACCATCGATGATAATAGATTTGCACCATGTGTCCGAAGAACTCGGAGGTGGTGACACAGGTAACGCATCCCGAAGTTGTGTTTGGAGATCCTTCAGGGCGGAGGTGATTTCACCCAATTGTTCGCCGTATTCTAAGGGAAATGTAGCTTGCTACACCGGATGAAACATGTACAATAAACGAAACTAGCAGACATGTCACATGTAGATCATCAGCGATTTGAAGCTAGGTCCCCCCTGTCAGTACTGTCAGTACACTAGTGTAGGTGCCTCGTCTCCAGTGGTGGTGGACATGGAGTGGAGCCCGGAGTCCGGAGGAGTCCACCAAAGGGTGTGGTGGAAATGCAGTGGAGCCCCGACAACCTAACAGGTGAGACCATATGGGGGGGAGAGAAGAGAGGGGAATGCGGGGAAGAGATAGCTGTTTCCTATAGGAGGTGGGGATGCGGGGGAGAGAGAGGAGAGGGGGATGCAGGGTGGAGGTGGAGATGGTGGCAGTGGCGACGGTGGGGGAGGTGAAGGGGGAAGGGATGAAGGGGGCAGAGGTGCTTGGTTGACGGTGGGGATGGCGACGCCCTCCCCTGCACCCCTCTTAGCCCAACGATGCCCTCCCCTGCGCCCCCCTTGCCCAACACTGCCCACGGTGGGAGGCATGAATGGGACTGCAGCTGCAGCTGGCGTTCCCAACAAACCCCTGCTGCTGCAACTACAGGAGCCACCACTGCAGGACAACAGGCCACAGTGGATGCTGCAACCCTGGGCCACGGATGCGGGCAGCAGGAGAAGTCCGCAGCAGTCCTGAAGACAGCAAAGGCTGGCTCAAAGTGCAGACGTTCAGTGCCTGATGTCATCTTGACAGAAGCGGATCTCCCCTTCGTGGAAATAAAGGTGAAGGGGAAGGGGAGCAAGAAACGATGGCATTAGTGGATGCACGTTTCATTTGGAACGAATGTGTATGTAATGTGATGGACAGCTGCATTGTCTTCTTTTGTAGAGGTGGCTTTTCTTAGGGCTGAAGGCATGTTCGTATCACATGGTGGACAGGGTCTTGAGACGGCTTGGCTCATAAGCAAATCCGTATCAAGACACTGTCCATCATTTGATAAGAACACGCCTTCCTAGATAGGATTGGAGGCGTGTCCATATGGTGCGATGTACAGGGGTTTATATTATGAGAAATCTTAATTTTGGGCTGAAAGGGGCACTCATATCACGTGATGTACATGTTTCATTTTATGGAGACTGCTTCATTTTGGACTGAAGGGGCCTTCAGATGTAACACAGCAAAGGCGTAACCCGGGATGCTCAGATTGGCATTTGCGTCGTTACATTGCCCCCACTTAGCAATGGACGTCCTCGGCCATTATTTCGAGCACAGGAGCCATCCCACCTCGCGCCAGTGCGCTGGTTTATCCATTACACCATGACATCGCCAATTTGCGACTTGCTGGTTGCCAGAATCGAACCGCCGACCCGAAGTTTATTTCGGAATTCGTGCGGTCCCGTCTTGATACCATTGTAACACAGCAAAGGCGTAACCCGGGATGCTCAGATTGGCATTTGCGTCGTTACATCAGATCACGTGATGTACGCGGTTCTTTCTATGGAGACTGCTTCATTTTGGAATGAAGGAGCCTTCATATCACATGATGGGCATGGGCTCGTTTTATGGAGACCCCTTCATTTTGGACAGAAGGGGCATTCAAACCGTAGGGGGTGTTCATTCTGAGCTACCTTCATTCTGTAATGAAGTGGTCTTCATTCCAAAATGAATCTTGGCCCTGAAATGAATGGATGCAATGAAGGGTCCTTCATGATGGTATGAAATGAATGTGAATCGCATATAGAATGAAGGCTCCAGGTTCCCAGAGTGCAAGATATAAGCTACCAGGCAGGGTTCTCTCACCAGGCGCTCAAGTATTACAACTATTTGGTGTTTGGAGTTCAAGACTCTGCTGCTGCCTATCTAGTTACTCCATATCCGTCTATGTATACATAGAAGTCCAACCCAGTGGCAGGCACCATACATATGCTGGTGCCTGCCACTGGGTTGGACTTCTTCCTGCTTCCTTGAAGACGATCGGTGCTCCACTTCCACAAGGTTGGTAATCATACACCCGTGAGCTTAGAGGCTAATGTGGAAGGATGGCACAACCCATACGAGAACCATGTCACACGGTTCTACCTACTCCATCCAGCCTGACACATACCGGTGTTCAAGGATGATGCCCCCTTGCTCAATGGCTCCCATTTCTCAGGCACGAAGTCTGGCATCATGCTTATGTTGCTTTACTTGGTTGTAGGCAGAGCTTTGGTGGATGATGCCGTCTGTAGCTCACGTTTCTTGCTTCCGTATACTGCCTGCTGAAGCAAGCAAGTAGCAGTTTACCACGTGGGGTTGAGTTCAGCAGATCATCCAAGCAAGCAGTTGCAATGTCTAACATGCAAGCCAAATTCTACTTCACACGAGACAACATCATACTTTGGTTGCTGCTTAGAATTGGTGGCGGCACAATTACCATCATGAGTACTCACCATATGGCACTGATAGGGTCGGTAGCCCCCTTCGGATTACCCATCTTCAACCCCCGGTAGCCCATTGGTAACCCCCTTGTAAGTTCCTACCCAGCAGGAGGGGTAACACGGCCCCAGGGTAAACCCCTCCGTCGCCCTGGACTATGGCGTGGGCATATAAGCTACTCGTCTTATTGCCCACTTCGTGAATTCCTCTTGTATATGTACATGTTAGCAATCTACAGTATTTTGGTATCTCCGGAAGCATCGTTCGCCATTTCAAGGTCTCTAATGCTGGCAGCACACACGCAAGGAATAAGGAATAAGTACCTACCTCTTGGCCTATTTGGCTCTTTTAAAACAAGAGTCTGTAGATGAGTACAGGAGAAGGCGCCAGTGCTGGCAGCACACACGCAAATTTGCTTTAAAGCCATTGTGCTGAGAACAGTACCGACTGGGCATTAAGCAATAATTCTGGCAAGAAGAAAACACTTTATCCTTACAGTCTGCTTCAACTACAATAGAAGTCTAAACTTTTCACTCAGGTCGCTGCCAGTGGCTAGCTCTGACAACATATCTATCATGTTTGCGAGTTGACATGCAATGGAATAGTAAGTTACCAAGTATGTCCACATCACGGTGCAGAGGGTATCAGGGCTCGCGAGAGCGACGATCGTCCGAATGCTTTGCTGCTGTACGGCTCCATGTTCAATAGAATGATGACATTTTAAATGTCATATTTATGGAATTTAACTTTATAAATTATTAGTGCCGTATGTGTAACCATGACACACTAGTCTCATTTCCTGCCAGCCTTCAAGCATGTGGCACCCCTTTGCCAGAGATGTGGCAACCCTTTGCCCGGGTGTGTATCCTCCCCCATCCCACCAACCGGGCTGCTCTATGTGCGCTTTCTAACAGTTTCTCATTCATGCGTATATATCACGGGATCTGCATCCGCCGATCAGTACTTTTCCGAAGTCGTGATGTAACAACACCCTTGGCATTCACTTTAAAACTCACTTCCAAAATCCGCTTTTCCTCCCTCAGTCCACTCGTACACCAGTGGACATCCAGTCACAGAAATGTCTTTGAGTCTCTCTCCCCCACTTCCCCCTTCTTCTCTCGCCACCCACCGGCAGCGGACCCCCAACCCGCACTCTGACCAGGGCGAAAGGGGGAAGGGGGGGACGGGGCCCTATGGCATAAACATGCCGGTTACCGACCGTTTGGGGCCCATTAACCCAACCGGCCGGTTGAATGGCGTTAACGGCC